CAATCTTATACAAACTAGCATTTCAAATTTAGAAATGCTGCAACATTTCCTCATCATAGAATATTTCTTTCAGTAATCAAATACATAGCGAATATTTCTTTCAGTAATCGAATACATCATACTCTATAATATTCACATTATTATGATTAAAATACGGCTGATAAAAATTAATTTTTCAATTTAACTGCGAGCGTTCGAAAGATTCTACCTACGCCAGAACGCTTCTAAAATAGATATTATCATCGCTGACGATGCCTGCCAAATATAACATATAATGACACCTAATATAACAACCACTGCTCCAACAAAATGACATTTATCGAAACTGCGAGATGGCGGGATGGCAATTATTTCGCGTAAATTAGGCAGACGTCGCATAGCGTGACTCCCACGTGTCTTCGTATATCTAATCTCAACACGTCGCAGGGAGCTGCGGTTTCTCGACGGCCCTGGGAAACGTCGCGATGCCTCGTGCATGCCTCAGTGCGAAGGTGTCGTTCGCCAGGAGTGCGCCGCGTCTCTACGCTCGCTCCGTCCTTCTCCATCTCTCATTCTTTCTCCATTTCTCTCCTTCTTATTCGCGCACCATGCCGCGATCTTTCAAAGTATCGCGAAAGAACGCGCTCTCACTCGAGTGAACGCCGCGAATGCGTGCGTCTCCAGGACCGTATTCACTCTCGACCGAGGTACCACGCGCCGTTGAGCTGGCATCGCGTGGCATCGCATGTCTGGATCAAGCGAGCCGAGACAAGCAGAGATAATAACCTTCGTGGAGGGACCTTGACGTCGCGGCACACATCGCGTTATACAGTGAATATTTCAATCACCATCGATCTATCACGTGTGTAACACGTGTGTGTCTCATGAGTGTCTGTACTCTTCTCTCTCCGATCCTATCGTGTACACGTTATATTCGTAGTAAAAATCTCCCTTCCATCCCACGCGCGGTTACATATCAGGCTACCATTATACGCGCTGTCATTCTGTCAGCCATAAAAAAATATTTCCTTCGCGATAATATACGCGTGTTCGTCTCGCGAGTGTAAATATTTCAAGCGTTATCGATCTACTACGCGAAACGCGGATTTTATGAGTACTGGCGCGATACCGATCATCTTCATTCTCTTGATAGTTTGACGATTGATCGAATTTTTCGCGCGAGATTAATTTGCCCAAATGTTAATAAGATACTACAAGATTACTTAAATTGTTTTTTCTTCGCACACGATGCTACTTTGTTGAATCGCAAAAATAAGCTATCTTACTATCGAGCCAAATATTTGCCGGAATTTTAAATTAAATTTATGCACAAAAAAATCATTCGTCTTACGTTACATTCCATAAGATGAATATTACGTTGAGAATGAAGTTCATTTGCATCACCCGTTATCTCAAAGATGCCGAATCCGAAACTTGCCGACAATCGCGTGTGTAGTGTGAATATTACAATACAAGATCGATCGGTTCCACGGACACGTGTTATTCATAAATGCCTCTGTCTATCGTGACTTTGACGTTATTTTTCCTCGCCTGCCTCGGATGAATAGAATAAACGCGGAATTCAATGCCGTTGAATATCTGATACGAATAATACCGTTTGTGCTTTTACATGATGAATCAAATTATGTAAAATTATATGAAATTATGTAAAATTATATACAGAATTTATGCTCTTTCATGTATATAAGGACGCTACAGTCAACAACGTTGCAAATAGATAAGAGTCTTTAACAATTGTCATTTTCTTTTACTTCGTACTTTATCCTTGCAATGCGGTTGTGCACTTACGCCAATCGAGCTACTCGTGAATATTTCAATATAATATCGATCTACAGAACGAGAAGCAGACATTCCAACATACTTTCACATCAGTAATTTTTCAATGTTTTTTTTTATGTCTATAATAACCGTGATTTAAGCCTATATGATATATTTTGAGAATTTTTTATCATAAAAATGTTCAACAAATTAAAGTAACGCATATTTTTATTAATTTTTATCATAATTTTTACAATTATAATTTAGTATATTTTATAAAAAATATTAAAAAATGTATAGATTTTTTAAAATATTTTTTACAGATATTTAAAAAATTTATAAATTTTTACGAGCTGAAGAGTAATGTATTATATTTATATTTAGAGTAATGTAAGAGTAATATATTTATATTTATATTTGTATGAACTCTCTCTATTTTCAAGTAATATTTTTCATTCGTAGAATCGAACATATCGTAAAAACATATGTTTAAACTTTCTTATTTGAATATTTCAAAACGATATGAATCAACTATAAATCATTCACTCATCATTCCCATCCATCTCCCGCTTTTGTGTTCGTCATGTAATAATGCATTTAATTATCACTGTCTCTGAGTCTTCATGCTGTGAAAAATATTTCTAGATCTTCTGATCGTACTCTATGTACTATACAATTGTAACTTGATCAACCGTGAATTTTGTGTCGTCGCTTATAATGGCATTCCGACAGCGGTGATAGACGATCGTTTCTCGTCCTTGTCCTTATATACTTGCATATCACGGAGTAGTATAGTTACTCACTTGCTTTACTCGTGTAAAACTCCAAAATTTGCATAAAGTTTAAACGATTGTTTTCTCTAATAGCAGCCATTTGTAATCGACTAGGTTAGTGTAACGATCGGAATTTTGCGAAGAAATTGCACGCAAAATTAGTTTCAAAAATGTGTTTCTTTTCGACAAGACAAAAAATTAATATCATGTCAGACTATTCATTTTGTGTGTATGTGTGTACTACGTTAAATAGAAAAAAATAACGATGAATCATAATAATCGATCGGGATTGCCTTATAATTTCAATCAAAATACGTCTATCAAAGCAACAGATCGATAAAATTGACATTTATTGAATAAAATAGCAAAAATGAAATAGTTTTAGCTTAACATTTTTAGTGTATAGGTCATTACAAGTCGTCCAAACAAATCCTTCATCTAGTCCCTGGCACTAGAGGCCAGGTAGAAAGAATTTATTTTCACGATCCGATAGTAGGCCGTATATTACTAGCTTAATAATTTAACATTAAGAATAATAAATAAAAATTAAAAAGTAATTTTTAGATTATAGTCCAAAATTTGAATGTCAAATCTTTTGAAATATTTCTTGAATAGTTATAGTTAGAATGTTATTAATATGTTTAATGTTTAAAATATATACTTAGAATGTGATTAACATGTTTGATGTTTAAAATTTAATTCGTTAAACATAATATGATTATAGAATTATTGCATATATAAAAATAATTCTAAATAATTTTATACGTAATCATTATGACTACTATTTTTATACATAGTATTATGAAACTGCACACATTGCTTTAGTATAAATCCGGACATAATATTAATCTCAACACTTGTGTTCTACTGCCAGGAAAAGTTGAATTTTCTCCGCGGTACGTGACTCGATAGCAGAGTAAATTCGGATTTCGTTTAAAAGTCAATGGGATAAATTCCCGTAGTTTATTGCTACAGTATTGCAGCATTCAGACAATTTGTTTCTCTCGCACGTAATTACTAATTAAAATTCTTAGATGATCGATTTTCTCGCTTCAGATTACTTTTATTTATTTTAAACAAGCGAAATAAATTATTTTTATATAAATTGTTTATATTACATTTTGCTATTATACATTTAATCTTAGAATATGAAAAATAAATAACTCATATGTAATTTTTTTATATCATTATATAAAATATATGAAACTAATAAATATATAAGTATATATAAGTATATGAGTATATATAAGTATATAAGTATTGATATTTTTATATAATATATTTTAATGTTTTATATATTATTTTTGTGAATTGTTTTAATATATTAAAATTAAATAAAAATCGAAGTATAACATATACACACACAAATAATACTTGATAAAATTAGAAAATCTTTATTTTATTTAAATCTTTATTATTTAAATGCTCTAACATTTTTTTAAAAATATATGCATTAGTTTAATACAATATATTGTACAAAAACTTATAAACAGAGAAAACGATGTAGCCTTGTTTTAAGTCCAGTAACTAATATAAACTCACGGTCACGTACCTTGCTAGCTATAGATCTAATAAAATAGTAAAAGACATTTACCTCATTAACTGATTTGCATCGTTATCATACAAATTAAATCAAACACGTATTTAAAATAAAATATGACTTGCAAGTTTTATTTCATTTTAAATAATTTGGAATAATTAAATTAGCATTAGAATATTGAAATTGTAAAATTTATTTACAAAACATTATTAGAGATACTATCATTCACATATATATTAAAAATTTTGAACAGACTATTCGAAAAAAATTACAAAAATATCATCGCAACAAGATTTGTTAAACAAGAAATCGCTTCAGATATTATAACATTTTTTTAAAATAATACTGCATAGTTTTATATATTGTTAATATTAGTTTAAAAATTACGGTTAAATAGTATATATATTCTAAGATTATAAGAAATTTTATTAGAGGCGACTTCAATAGAGAAAATCTTGGCAATGTAGCCAATTTGTTCCAAAAATAATTCCAAGATTTCGAGTCAGTATAAATTACATTCTTTATCATTATCGAATAAAACGTGCAGCATTAAAATAAATTAAATAAATTTCTTGTTTTCACGCACCTATATCTGCGCCGTATGCTACTGGCAGAGCAGTCTGCTTTAGATCAATCGAGAGACTATTAAAGCTCGTGCCGTTTCTACAACGAGACAGTTCACCACGAAGTGGCAAACGTTAGTCGACATACGCGTTATTTGTGTCTCTTTTAATCTAATATCACGAACTCTCTGCATTAATTTGCAATTTAAATTTCTTACTTTTAAATTTAATTTTTAAAATTAAAAGTGAAATTATAAAGAATATCAAATGACTTTAAATCCTAATAAATTTAAATATAAAATATATAAATTACTGAATAGCGCATAAACATTTTTTAATATGAATAGATAATCTAATGTTAAATATTTAAAATATTTTATCCAGTAAATCTGATCGCAAAAGATTAATAGCTCGAGCTGCGGAATCGCTATCGTTTTGTATCAAATTAACAAAACATTGAAACAGTCTAATTACACACGATCTGGGACGTTAAAATTATTGTTTAAGTTATCGTCAATGACTTCGATTTAACACATATACTTTCCGCTATTATTCCATCAAGTATATTGAATTATAAAACTTGTACTTGATAAGAAAATTGAAAATGGAATCGCAATGATGTTAACGGATTAATTTGATATTTATTGCGTGAATCAGCGTGTTTCAATTTTCTCGATCTTTACTGTTTTTCGATTGTGTGATTTGTATTTCTTACATGCCACAGTGATACTTGTTTGAAAGCTGGAGGAACTAATGTGAGGTCTATTATAAACGTGATCTATAACATTATTTATTTAATCTTTTTAGCTTGGAATTGTACATTTTGTTTATTTTGCATTATATATATGTCAACTGTATGAAAGTATCTCAAATTCATGTTATTGTTAGTAATCATCCTAAATTTTAATCTAATCGATTAATATAAATTAATAGAAATCGATTAATATGTCGATTAATAGAAAAAGATAATAGAGCAAGTCGTTTTTTATTTTGAATTATATTTATATTTTATCAAGTCATCTTTCTTGGAGCATCAATCTTGTTTAATTATGCAAGTTTCTTTAAATTTTCGTTAAATTTTTTTCTCTTTTTTTATACATTCTTCGTGGGTAGTGTTCGGAGAAATAACGTGATGTTAACTTATTTATATTTCTAGATTAAATTCATGATTTCTTGCTTACACTTTTTAAAAACACGGAAAGCACGACATCGATAAATAAGCGTCGCGAAAAAAGAATCAATCTAGTTCTTGCATATCTAAAATGTTTTAATAAAATTTACATATTATTCGACAGAGTAAAAAAATTCCGAGATACTAACAATACTCTAAAAATATTAAGAATAGTTTTTACATAGAATACTAACAATAAAATAGATGCATATATTTTTAGAAAAATGTTATGGTATTTAAATAGAATAGATTGTTCGATAATTTTGCGCTCTTTCTATACAATATCATTTTTATATAATAATTCAATATTAATATTTAGTAAAACATTGAAACCATTCAAATTTTTATCGGTTCTATTTTAATAATGCGTACAATGCGGAGAGATTTTATCGTTTCTGATACTCCGAAGTTAAGTTTCAATAATCTTTCGTGTATTTCGGTCGAGAGATCGCACGACAGAAGATCATTATCATTCTTTTCATTCGACCTAGATCAGCCACGCGAGTGCTTTAGTACAACACGGCAGTAAGAAGTTGGTAAAAGTTAAGCGCTCTCTCCAACATTTCCGCGAGTATCCCCTGTCGGAGATTGATTGTCAGCGTCTTTGCACGAGCGGCTTAAACTCCGATCCCAATGTTGTCCGGTGTTATATCACGCAGATTTCTCCTGGGCTCGGACGAAATATCATACGCCCAAATTTCTAACATATCGTTAATCTCACAGTACATTTCGCCATGAGTTAAGCGGCTATCGGTGCGCCCAGAGAGGATCGCGCAAAAAAAACAAAGAAAAGACCTTGTGTCGGAGAGACGGCAAAATTCAAAACACGAAATTGTGTATCGATTTCGGAAAAATCTAAAGAAACTAAACATCCCCATACCTCCTTGTGATCGTCGCGCACCGCCACCACCACTGTCTCTCTCTTCCACGCGCATCCTCGAACACGTGATCGAGCGTACCGAACCGAGAAAAGAAAAAAAAACACACATACACACCACAAGAAATATATCGTCGATAGCGATCTGAAATCGTGCACTGAAGTCAGTCATGAATCTTATGTTCCGCAAGAATTTCGGAGGCGAGAGGGGATCCGGTGGTGGCGGACTAGGTGGAGGAGGACTAGGACTAGGGGAAGTTCGGCCTGTCCTGGGCACCGGGGCCTCGTTCGGTCAGCTAGGAACGCGTTTTGGCGCGGCGCGCGTCGGCCAGTCGGTGGTCGGCGGCGCACGTGGATCCGGACGACGCAGCCGGGACTTGGGATACTATCCGTCGATGGGCGATCACGAGCACCAGGTTACGAGCCACGGCTATCGTACTCACTTGTTCCTGTCACCACCCACAGGTGGGGCGCTTGGCTCGCCACCCGAGGACCCGGGCGAGCGGCTGGGTCCGCCGCCGCGTCGCAATTCGGGGCCCCATGTGATCAAATGGGGCGGCGGCGGGCCCGTCGGTTCCGCGCAGGGTGCGCAGACCGCGAATCAAGCCCGGAGAAAACAAAACCAGAAAGAATCTTCCGATCCACCGACCCCGACTGCGTCTAGGCAGGTAGGTGCATAATCGAAAATTCTAACGTACTTAAGAAAGGGAAAAAATGCGATGAGTGACTTTATTTACTTTTCTTCGTTCATAGAAAATTGCCTGCATCTTTCATTTAGATGTACAATTGAACTGCATGATAAGATATTTTATGAAAGAAACATATATCTTAATTTTTCATATTTATCTATTTATGAAGAATTTGCTAAAAATAACATTAATTGTAGCATATAATATGAATTAATACAATGATATGAATTAATACAATTATCAAGCATATTTATCTGTTAATGTCACGGAAAACCACCGTAGTAATGATGTACATATTCTGCAATTAATTCTAATTATAGTAATTTCCTTTATAATCGATCAAAATGATGAGGACGAGACCTAATCTGCGACCGCGACATTATCTGATTCAAGAGATGTGTTATGGCTAGCATGTTCCTAGCAACCGAATCATAGCGATGATTGTATAGCATTATACATATATAAGTAGTTTATTATATTCTTGAACTATTAAAGAGATAAAAAATTAAAGAAATAAAAAATTGTAATATATTACAAGAAAATAGGTTTATAATAATGTAATTTTATGATAATTTTATGTTATATTTACAATAATGATTTTTTTTTTGTTTGCATCGATACATTACGTTGAATTTATTTTCTTTCTCAGATAATCGATTAAATATTTAATCACATCAATCAGTCGTATCGAATCATAAAATTATTCATAAACCTAAATAAAAAAATTATATACATTTCATAATTCTCACAAATACGGTTTAATCGATACTCAATCTTATGATAAATTATTTTATAATATTTTATTTTAATCTTTAAAAAATAAAAATTAATTTAACAAAAATTTTTTTTTTAATTTAACAAAAACTGAGTTGAATATATTACAATCAATGTTAAGTTAATAAATGTAATAAATGTTAAGTTTTTTAAATAAAAATTATTACGCTCAATCGCTATATTATAACCAAATGCTATATGTTATAGTTTAAAGTGGGCCAACAGATAGCGGGGAATAAAGCAAAGTTACGGAAGAAATATGTAGATCATTTACAGGAGAGGTGGCATAAAAAGTAAAACCTAGCTCTACGGCACGCAAAGTCGCTATCTTATTCGCGTCGTGGTAGATTTCAGGAAGGTGTTATAAATTGGCCGCGGTGTAGCTATTCGACACTTAATTCATTGTGCACTATCGACCTCGTTCAAAATCCCCTCATATCGCATTCCATCGCCATGTCTCTTCGTCAATGTTTAGTATGTCGTATTCTACACAAGAGAGAAGACGCTTTCGGGCTTCAGTTGCATTATAAGTTGTAGTATAATGGCGCAATAAAGCTCATGGTCGCATCGCTCGGTAAACAAACAGAATTTAACGAGTGTTTAAATTCAGTAACAGACTGAAGAAATATACAATAAAATTTCATATCCTACAGCGACTCTCAGCCGATCGAATCATTGAAAGACGGCACAGAGAAAAATGTATACTATATTCAAGTAAATATTATTTATTTTAAGTATATCATAAATTGGTATATCCGCAAATATATTATAAGTTCACCACAAGCATTAAATTTAATTGAATATATTCTGAATTTTAGTAAGTGCAGTATTTTAGTCAAGAATATTAAATTAAAACAAAAATTTGGTTTGCTTACTACATGAGTTGGCATAAAGTAAGTTTGATTTTTCTTTGATATACAACTTTACAATATTCTTGAAGTGAAAATAATTTCTTCTTTTGAGTACATGATAATGAGATTTTCTAACACTTGTGATGAGTATATTTTAAGACTATTATCAAGAATATATCCTCTTTATTGAAGAAAACTATTATCAAGAATAAGATTAAGACTATTATCAAAAATATATCCTCTTTATTGAAGAAAACTATTATTTCAAAAAAGAAAAATAAACTGAGTAATCGCTTCAGAGATAATTCATTTAATGATAGTCATATTTTACTAAGGAATGATTATTATTAATTTTAACACTAGAAATTAACATTCTAACATTCGAATTATATTAACATTCCCGTATCATAATAATTACGATCGAATTCAATAAGTCGATGTTTAAAAAATATTGGAAGAATATGAAACGATATATGAAATAGTAAATTCTTTGTTATATTCTTTTCGCGTGATCAAAAAGAACGTGCGGCATGAAAAAACGTAACGTGCGGAAATTCGCGATTAAAGTTCGCTGCGGCTTTTACAATCTAACGAAGACCGCAGTGTAGTATAACGATCTTTGACCTTTACGTTGCGTACCGTGTGAATATTTACCGTCATGTATACCTGCAACGCAATACGATTAAATATCAAAACACTGTAGGCACGCTTTTTTCACGTATTTGAATACGTAAATGTAAAAAAATGTCTCAACGCACGAGAATCGCGTGCGAATTGCATATTTTACTCATACTGCAACATGAGATGTGAAAATTCGCATTCTAATAAATGCGCATTTCTATAAACGAAACAAGTTACAACGATTTATCAATGTTCAAGCTCGCGATATTCTTTGCTTATTTAAAAATAATATATAATGGATATTTATAGAGCTCGGTATATTTTACAAGTCTGTCGCAAATTTCGTTTATGAAAAAAAAATTGCACAAACTGCAATTAGATTTATAAAATTAATACACAATTTTATTTTTTTATATTAAGTTTTAAATATTTGCTTGTACACACAGTGCAAAATAAATTATATTTGTATAATTTCAATTTTTTAACATTTTTGTCTATCTTTAGTTTATCAATTTTCTCGAACAATACCCTTCCTCGAGAAGTTTGTTCTCTGAGAAAATATTATGGAAAAATTTATAAAATACTTGACGTTAATATAGAGCAAATGCATGTGTCTGATTATTATAGATTGATTATAAGAGTGTATTTAATCTGTATGCACCTCTAATACGCCGAGAAAAAATATGACGTTAACGTCTCCCAGTGGAGCTATTTTTGAATAGTTGGCCGTTTAGTCATCCTAATTAATACATACACATAACTTTTATACATAGACAATATGTATATAATATCCATTATTTTTAATATCTACGTGTATTCATACATGTATTTGTTCAGAGACAATAATGCATAAATATTACAAATAAATGTATATGTATGTACGCGATATTGAAACACAATATCTAAGTTTGTGTCTGATTAGAAAATGAGACGACTTTATTTTGCTATTTTATATTCCGATTATTAAAATAATTAAATTACATATTTGAAGAAGCAATTTGAATTTTATAATGACAAATAAATTTTAAAGTCTAAAGCCAAATGTACTGTATATCTAGCTGCGTGTATAAACATAATGCAAGTATGAAATTTGTAATCATTACTGCGTTATCCGACACACTATTTTTATACACTAAAAAAACAGCATAAATTTTTATCGATCCTGTCAGTTTTTTCTCGCATATAAGCATTTCACACAATACATTAATGAGGTACACATTATTTTTTATCATAATGTATATGCAATACACGCATAATAATATGAAATCAGATATATAGTGCATACACTGATAATAATATGAAATCAGATATATAGTCCATATAGTGATATGTATATAGGAACATAAAAAAATCTCACAATTATAACGAAAAATTTAGACAAATTATAACAAAAAATTTAGACAAATTATAACAAAAAAATTAGAATTCTACTGAATAAAATTGATTAAAGGGAATAGAATCAAAAGGAGAATTAAAGTTTTAATTTTTATATATTAAAAAAATAGGAATAAGTTATTTTGTCTCTAAAATATTTCTTTCGTGTATATTCTATCCGATTCTACTTTATAAAAGACGACATTTCACAGTTACCAGGCCGTAGAGGAATAAAAAATTACAAGGCGATGTGATCAATCGTTAACGCCGAGCGTACTTGCAAAATTGACATGCAACATAAACCATGTAGCATCGCGCGTACGTGAACTATAAAACTGTAAGACTTTACGAGAGCCAAGAAACATACGATAGGAAAAACGCGAGTAGATCTACCGATGGTGACCGTTTGTGCTGGGCACAAGTAGTAAAAGATGAGCCGAGTCAGACGCGGAACGCATACGTGAATTCACATGTCGTGCTATGTCTTTTTCACCTATGCATTCACAACCTATTTTTATTTTATTTGAACACGTATTATCTCCTGACATGTTTATTACTGGTGATTTAAATGTATTTGGACAAATCCATGCGCGTGAATTTATATTCACATTATTATTGCACACATACATATCGAGAGCTCATACATATCAATCTCTCTTTTTTATTTTTAATCTTGCGATAATAATCTACATTTTCATAAATCGATATTTTTCTAGCATACAAAAAGCGATTGCAGAATTCTATATAAAGTTCATTTAGTCTTTGAATATACTTATTTTTATATGTAATCAGAAAAAAATATTTTATAAAATTTATAAAAGCAAATCATTATTTACACTCTCTTATAATCACTATTGCAGAATATGTAATATGTATAAAATTGCATAAGATAAATTCTAGAATATGAATATTTTTAAACGTATATATTCGATTCTCTAGTGTCAAAAATTCTAATCTTCCGAATTCTAAGATAAATAAGGAAAAAATAATTTTAACCCGTTTAATCGAATACACTAGTGACTTTCAGTTGTAAGCATTGTGCTTTGGAAAAATTTTTAGTTTTCAAATTATGTGAGTTATTAAATGCATTATTAGAAAATACAAATTTTTATGTAAAAATGTTTCTATCATCAAATTAAATTATAAATTTAAAATAATAAATTGTATAGTGCAAAAATCTAAATAATATAACAAATAATATAATAAATTTTTCAAAAATTAATATGACAAATGTAATTAGGAAATTTAATTATGATAAAATATTAAGTATAAATATTTAAATAAACCTTGATTAAAATTCCTTTCTTCTTTATAATATATAACATGAAATTTTTACCTTATTAAATTGATAGTATTATTGTATACTAAACGTAATAGGTCGTTATATTATATGAAATATATTATTTATTTGCAAATTTCAAAATAATCGAGTTAGTAGATATCATGTGCTTACAATCAAATTAAAATTTTTACAGCCGGAAGCCACTAGATATCAATTAAAATTAATGGATCCACTGGAATGTATTTTTGTGCATATATTCTACATAATAATATTATATATAATAATTTTAAAAATGCAAATTTTTTAAAATCAAATATGAAATATTAATTCAATACTGTATGTGCAGAATTAATATGTGAGAGTAATCTTTTACAATATATAGCTTTTACACAATATATATTTATCCGTGATTAGCGCATGTTATGTGCATGTAATATAATTCTCCAGTTGTATTATCATTTTAGCAGGTGTCTTTCAGCGGTAACCGTGCTTCCGGCACTTACACGCCCCTTGTGGTCTCTGGAAACAGTCCACCGCGAGGCGAACCAATTTCCTTGGCCACTTTGGACCGTGACTGTTTTATCATACCTCTCGCTTCTCTCGAACGTTTTTTACCAGCGGGTGTACCAGTGAGTGACCAAAAAATTTCTTTATTTTGTTTAATTCAAAATAATGTACTTTTTACAGAAAAAATTACCTCCGAATTTATCTAGGGAAGTAAATCTATGCACAGTATATTTTTCGTAAAATTTAAAAGCGAATTTATTAACTAAAATATCGATGAAATATTCTAATAGTGTTAGAATAAATTTTTAATTTTTTAATTTTTTTAAATTATAAACCAATGAAAAGTTATGATAAACGATCATTTTCTTTCATGTTTTTATTGTACTACAAGTAGATTGACTTTCAAAATCTACAAGAATTTCTGAGACAAGCTATATATCAGAAAAACAAAACAATTCTTTAATTCGACGAAACGATTTTTAAATTTTGATGATATAGTATACATATTTGAATTATGTTGTTTGCCTAATTGTCAGACATTATTCTTAAATATCACTCTCGAGAAAAATAATTCGATATATTTAATTTCAAAATACTTCTATTCCCCATTAATAAGATAATATTATCGATGCATTTTTGTAATTATAAAAAAATGGGAAAGCTTTTAACATTTCGTTAAACTTTTTAGCGTTATAAAAAAAATGGGAAAGCTTTTAACATTTCGTTAAACTTTGTAGCGTTATTCAAGCACTAAACTTTAATATTCGCTAATTAATAACCTTGTTCCTTAGGATAAAGCTTATAATACACACAAGAAAAAATTTGATAACAATCAGAATCTGAAGGAGCTCTGTAAATTGTATCTGATATTTTCGCTTATATGTGTATGTACGATTAAAAAATTTTTGATAATTGTATTTATATTTCTTCTATTATCATTTATTTCTCTGATATAAGTTATTTCACATACATCGTACATATACATATATATCTTATATAATTTCAACAAATTCATTATCTCGATTTTACATATGTACATAAAATAGAAAATAATTTAAAACTCACCGATACGATGCGCAACGACGAAGTTGTAGTATAACGTTGATCTGTAAAATATAAATATATTCAAATTATATATAAAGCAGTGTCCAAAATAATTAAAATAAAAAAGAAATATGAAATTAAGAAATATACATAATTAAATTTATCCTTTAAACAGATATTTAATAAAAAATATTATCTAACGTGAATAAAAATTTTTAGTACAAATTATATATAATAAATAATAATTTAATTATTATTTAATAAAAATAACCTAAATTAATAAATTATAATTACAAATCTCCTAAAAATTGTGAAATATCTTATATATTTTTCTTAAATAAAAATTATGAATATCTTTTATTAAATATTTTAATTGCCTAAAATAACATTTTCAAAATATTTTTTATATACATTATAACACATAACAGTATAAAATGGATCATTGTCGCAAAGCATTTGTTTTTACGACAAATAATAAATTAATTAAGTTATAAATTTCTCACCTCACGGTTGCTCTGTCGTTGCCCGATGCTTCCCCGAGCCTGTTCATCCTTTCTTATTTATTCGAGGAATCCTTCCCTTGATTTTTGCTTCTTTATTGACACTCACAATATTTACTCGTGAAATTATAGTTAATTACAATCGCGCGTACACTAATTAGTATAAGATCACGTGGCACTTTGTTTATGGCACTCTCTATATATCACGCGATGAAAGAAATTACAAAAAAAAAAAATTCACTCACGGCGACGTTACATTTGTGTTATATCAACGATATATACTGATCACTGAATTATTATCTTGTATATTATAATATAAATATATAAATAAATATAAATAAATACAGTAGTTTTAAAAACATTCACGAATTATGTTCGAAAATATGTTAATTATAGTTTGCATAATCGACTAAATCTCGCTAAATATACGTTTTGAATTTGCAATGATATGTAAATATCAAGTTTATGATAAGTGATTGATAACTTACATTATTATGATGTTAATAGCAAATATACTTAATTAAATACAATGTTTCTTGATTGTTTATTCCATTTCGTACCTATAATGTTTGATTAATAATTGAAAATTACATCGACACTATTTTGATGCATGCAATATTATATGAATTAAGTTAAAAACCAATTAAAAAATCCGTTCGAAAATACACAATTAAAATTCAATATTGAACTCGATATAATTGATTATATGAATCCGAAAAATAAATGTATTATTGTAATCGGCATATCATAATTTTTCTTTACTCAATTATTTGACTTAATAATTTATATATCACTCTGTATTCTCCAGATTTGAGATAATTATATGTAAATTATATTTAGATTAAAATTTTAAATGCGATGCAAAATATATTCAAAAATACAAGCTTTAGCTTATTAAAATATCACACATGAAAATTATAATTATTTCAATACAGAAGTTAAATAATTTAATTTCTTTAAAAAACAAGTCGAAAAAACAAAAATATATACTTTGATAAGTCGCGAAATTCGTATCTATTATTTATCACAAGAATTAATCGATCGAATGAACTAATAATTGTTAATTATAATAAATAATAATGTTTCAAACTATTTATACGATCATATTTCGAAAGATAATGATATGGACGGAAAACTTGTGCTACTACGTGCTTACTCGAGTGTCAACGCCACACGAATGGCAACAAGGTGACTCTGTGATAGATACGTCATATGTATCATCGAAAAACACAAGCATCAAATTTCGCAATGTTTATTATAATATAAGCTTTATATTATATACTTATACAATATATTGTTATACATCTTGTCCTCACTTACGATATGTTTTCACATTATTTCTCAAGAAAAAACGCGATTGCGAAAAATATTGAAAGATGCTAAATATGATTATTCCCCACGACCAATTGACAATTATTTACAAATTATTAACAATTATTCACTCGTACAATTAATTAATTTTAGCGATTAACGATTTGTAAGCGTATCGATAATTTATTAGAAAGGCAAATATTTTGTACAATTCAATTCCTCAAACAGAAGTCGAAATGGAATAAGATACATTATTGTTTTATCGCGATCTTTATAAATAATCATTTCTTTAAATATATTTAGAGAGAGAGTCGAAAAAATGTCGCATCGCGCTTGGATTTATCTCGTTTAATCTTCATCGATTTAAACGTAACTTTTCTATTACTTTCGAATTGAGAATATACGCGAATCGTAAGATAAAGCAATTAAAATAACGAAAACCATGTGTAAAACAATTATTAATGATTAATTTAAAGATAAAAGAATGTATCATAATACGCGTCATTATTTCGTGACGGCAACGAGTTAGTCACACGATGAACTACACTTTGTAAACACACAGTGGCCTTGATACGCACGACGCGACTAGTGGTGGTGGGAGTGGGAGAGTAAGGAGTAGGAGAAGGGGGACATAGCGACGCGACTCGCTCCACGTGTTTTTCCATTATATATCGAAATGTAATAATGTAATCGTAACAAGTACCGGAAGAATCATAATTATTATAATTATAATTACCTACCCGCGTAATTAAATAAAAAGTGTTTCGTGCAACACATTAATAAAGTTTAATTAATAAGTATAATTCTTTGAAATAAAAATGAAGTGTCTGGAAATAATTTACAAACTGTATTTCTTAAATTATAAATAATATTGAATTATAAATTGTATTTTTTTAATATATTGCAATAAATTATATTTAAAACATACGGGAAATAATTCGTAAATATGTTTCGATTATATTTTCTCGGGCTTTGATTTGAACTTTTGATTAAATAAAGTGTAAATAATCATTTTCAGATCGGAGATCAAAATAAATAATTGAGCAAAGAAAAATAATGTACTGATCATTTATAATACATTTATTTCATCGAATTCATGTGTTAAATTGTATTGTGTAATATTGAATTTTCCGGTATATTTTTTAATGAATCGTTAACTCGATTCATGTAATATTCGATATCAGAGGGAAATGATATATTTTTTGATTGTTAATAAAACGAATATGAAACGAGTGGATGATTAGCGTAGAAGTATCGTGTTTAATTAATAAATATAATTACTGTAAACTACATAATAATTTATTAATCACGTACTATAAATTTATATATCGTTGTAATTTATCAAAATATTTATCGAACTTTGTGAAATTTATTCAACCGAAATCGTTCGAACAGTGTAGTAAACTATACTCAACGTATTTATCAAATACTGCATAATTCAAAGATATTTATCTTTAACTATAATATAATTGTACGTGATAAACTGTATTATGCGTGATACATTAATAATATATATAGAGTCCTACGCAATCGTATTCTGCTAATTATTGCACGTATGATCATAATTAACAATATTTTCGCGAGTGAATATTATGAGTGTCAATAAAGAACAAGAGGATAAATAAGAAAGGAAAATATTCGATGGCAGAGGCAACCGTCAGGTGAGAAATGTGTAATATTTATTATTTGTAAAAACACAGTAATTGTTGTATCTTTGCGACATTGATTATAGTTTTATGCAATGCTATTATATAATACTAAAAAAATTCTCTTAATTAGTTTTATAATTACAACATATCTAATAAAATATACATATATGTAAAAAATTTTAAAAATATTTCACAATCTTTTAAATAATTTATAGTTATTATCTAGATTTTTTTATATAATAATTAGATTATATTATTTTTATATCTTATAATATTTTTATATCTTAAAATATTTTTTCTAGATATTATATAGAATTTTTTTATTAAATTAGCTTAAATTATTTATTTTTTAATAAATGACTTTCAAATTTTTATTTCAAGTATATATACTCCAAACATCAAAAAGGTCCAAATATTATTGAAAAGAAATTCGAAGCAAATAGCATATCATTATAATATATCTGCTGATATTTTTTACATTAAATTGCTGCTTTTTTACATTAAATTTTATCTCCTATTGCATTAGCAGCTATTATTTACACAGTAATATGCCTCAAGTTAGACAGAAAAAAAGGGAGTTGATATTAAATTATAAAAAAGTTTAGCCACCCCATCTATATTTAATTCTCAGCAAACGTTATATATATATATGTGTGTGGATATTAAAAGAAGAAAATTTTAAATAATTAATTAACTCTCTCACCTGTCGGTGCACCGCCGTTGCTGCCCCTGTTCCTCATAATCCATATAATCCGTTTAATCCACGTGATCCAATTATTTCAGAGATATCCACTCATTTTCACATGAATCGCTTTAATACGATAATCACGCATTACTTCCATATTCATTCACATTGACTGCGATTCACCACCTTTATCGAGATTCACTTTATTGCACACGAATATATCACACGAAACACAGATTTCTCGTAGCTTCGAACACATATACACATGTATACTCGCAATGAAACATGAAACGCGACACGAACTTCGATTCTCGGAAACTCGGAGTGTTCGGCGACTCCGAGCGCTGTTTCCGATCGTATTCGACTGTCACTGACATATATATCGATCGGATAAACGCGGCTAATTACGATCATATGATCGGATTAACTGTCGACTCCGATATTCGCACGGCACTCCCGAGAATTTATTCCACTCGGGATGTTTTCGGGACGAATAAATGAACGCGAAACGCCACAATCCTTGACCACTTTACACGGTGCATCCGTTATGTACGACGCGACAAGTTTCGATTCTCGAACGGAAGTGCAGAGACAACTTCACGCCGATGCTCCGTTGCTTCGAACGCTTCTATATACAAATACACGCTAATTGGAAGAAATGGCTAATTACGATTGCGAAGGTCAATTGTCGCGATCCGAAACTTGTCGATCGCTTTACATTACGCCGATATTTGAATGCTTCCCCGTCATTTCTCGATGCTGCGATATTTATGCCGCCATTAGTATCGCACTTTGCTCCCGACTTTATTCGCTAATTACGATTACGCGGATCAGTTATGACGATTTGACACTCGTCCGTCACTTTACGCGTCGTTTTCGAACACTTATTGCACTTACGGATACACTCGAAACGCATAAATCAACACGAAAACTCGCAAAGAAATGTCCAACGTTCCGCCCGCACTCGCGACATTGTTAGGTGACGTTGGTTACTGCAGTTCGCCGAAAATTTGAAATTTATGGCAACTTTGTGACGATAAATTTCTCGGGGTATACGGTTGGTACCCTTCGTGACGCGAGACGAGCAAAGTGAGGCGCTATCGCGGTCCGCGAATCAGCGGAAGATGTCACCGCACGTGCATAACTTGACATATGCGGCAAAAGAGGGCGGAATCAGGATATTTCTCTTTTCTCTTTATATATATATATATATATATATTCAGAATATAAGTTAAAATCTTATGCAATAAAAGGGACTCTAAATAAAGCAGTATTATTTATATATGGCAATCGCACATAGAATTTGGGAGATAAGGTTACAACGTCTCTCTATCTCTTAACGACGATGTCAAAGGTAATGAAAGAAAGACATCGAAGATATTTTCCAATTGTAATATGTTATAAATATACTATCATATCCTGTCAATCTGATGGTAGATTAAAAGTTAGGGTTCGAGCGGTTTAACATTTTTTTATTATAAGAATTAATATCTTCCGTATAGATGTAACATTGAAGATCAGCTGTTAGAGATGTTGAGTTTTTAATCTGTATGCACGAGAATGCGGTTAAGAACATTCTTTTGTCGGCACCGGATTACATCATTGCATTATTTCATATTGATATCTATTCAGGAGACATAGAAATTACGAACTGAATATTAATTACAATTATTATTTCTTCCGAATTAAAAAGGAGGGAATTTTGCACGCACTTTCTTCGACTCGTATATTATTTTTTCTCAGCGAGAATTCATCGCACAATCTTTTCGTTCTCCATACTTCGATTATCAAATTAATAAATAAATTTTATTAACAAAAGACATAATCGCGCAAATAAAAACGGAATATTAAAAACATTATTGATTACATTGAAGCTTAAATTGCGCGAAAATTATTTAATTTAATTTAGAAAAATGTTTATACCAAAAACATGTCTATGTTCTATCTAAAAGATAGAACTAATTTATTACAAAAATAGGACAGTATACACGCATACGTGCATACACGCACACACATACACACAATAGCACTAAGATGGAAAAAAAACAGAAATACTTATTTAAAAAAAATTAACAATTAAAATTAATGTAATAGTATAATAGTATAAAATAAATACTATTAAAATAAAATATATTTTATTAAGATATTATTAGATATTTCGTTACAAAATATATATTTCTTTCGTTTATAATGTTGAATTTAGTAACACACTATTACTGATAAGAATTGAAAGCTATGTGATAATATCGACATTAGTTTAAAGAAATATATATATATATATATATATATATATATATATATATACATTATATAGTTCTTTAAAAGAAACATAGTTTGTTTGTAAACAAAATGTGTCAGCCTGAAAGAGTAGCTGTGAAGGATCTCTTATTTTTATTCATGTTTTGTTATTTTTAACTAATTAATAATTAAAATAAATATATGTTAGTTAAAAATATCTCTGTTATATTTCTATTTAATAAAAATTTAAAGGAACATTTAAAATATATTCTCAAAATTTTTTTATATATTATGTATTCTAAATGCACTATATCATGAGAAACTGTTTCAAATGGTGCATGTATGTGTGCATATGTGTATTTTTGATAAATTGTCTAATGAGAAACTGTTTTGATGAATATATAATTTTTGTGCAACAAATCTTTGAACATTACTGTATCATTTAAATAATAATATTCCCGTCTTTTCTGTGTTGCAATTTTACTTCCTAATTTTTTATTCAAAGCATGCTCCTGTCGCTGACAAGAAGAGACCAGGAAGTCCTTTGTCGGTTCTCGAGGTTGAGGATCCTAAGCAATGTGTTCTCGCGCATTTTATGACACCATTGGAGCCTCTGGATCCCTTAATTGAATCTCCAGTATCTCGTCCGCTGGTTCTACAACGCGATACCGCCGCAGAACTAGTTGCTGAGTTAGCACCCTCTGCGTCGCAAAGTATTTTGCTTACGAATATGGAGAAGAACAGTATGTAAAATTTTTAGAATATTCAGAGAAATTCAATTCAGAGAATAATATGTGACAATATGTAAAAAATCCTTTTCAAGATTATTTAATTGAGATTTTTATCCGTTTCAGCGGATTTTCCGTTCATTACGTATTATCTAATAAACAAGCAAAACACGGAGCCTATGGATTTTTACAATGAAGTGCAATGCGCGGCCTTACGTAAGTTCGATCCCCGAGACCTCAGATATGCGGCCAATCATACATTGGATCTGTTCAATGAGGTAGCAACTATCGCAAGACCGCCACTCGAACCACCCGGTGGAAGACCACCCATTCCGTCCACCGGCTATATTGTGTCGATTTTCAAAGTTTTTGAGGGTGATGACGGTCTTAAGTTTGAACAAAATTGGCTCTATTGGACAGGTAAATGAGTGCATTTCTTGCCATTTTTTTATATGTACAATTCGAGATCTCTTAAATATTAAAATTCTGTATGAAATGATGAAATTTTTCTTATTTATGTAATGCTGTTGTATTATATATGTCCATGTCGTGTATCTTAAAATAGTTACACTCTGTATACAGGTGTATAGAAGCAATTACTCTCTGTTTTATTTTGGCACTATATCGAGATATTATATATCACTTTGTATTATAGGTGCACGAATGATATATCGATACTTGCCAAAATCGGTGGGTCTCAGGCGTATCACTTTGCACAAATCGATATCGCAAGGCGATAAGATGTATCTATTAATCTGCGAGTGCTCGCAGTTGCAAGACAATTTATCCGCTGCGGCAATACTTTTACCGGCACTTCGCGCACGTCTGTGCGGATACACCGGGCTTTATAGACCCTCCGTGTGTTTCTGATTCCTTACCCAGCTATTAGAATCTGCGAGGAGCATTGTTTCAAATTGCATTACATGCATCTCTCCACAGGAAAATTCAAGCGAAACAGTATTTATCAAATTTCTCTTCAGTCTATATTTTATTTCTATATTTTATTTGTGATTGAAAATAGATATTGATATCCTAATATATTTTCAATATTAATAGTTGTCACTTTAATTGCAGAAACGTAATCCTCTCCCAAGTTCTAGCGGCTGCCAAGAGAAGGCACGATACTGACTTTTCCAGGAATCGTAAAATATCGTCGCAAATGCCGCTAACAAACAAGACACTGTGATTTCTACTATCGTACTATCTATTATAAGAAGCGCAACTTCGTATACGCTTTAGATAAGTCTTGTCGATTATCGACGAAACAGCATGCTCGATTAGATACGCCATTGGACCTATTTGTATTTTTCGACTTTACTATTTCGTTCATCATACAAACGAGCGTTGCCCGAATAGGGTCACCAAACGAAACGGAAATACAGAACAAATAGCAATAAAATTGGTATGTAAGCTGCAGAGAGTATCGCAATACTTAATGCAAAATAAGTGTCCAAGAAATCTATTATATATATACAAATGGATGAATCCTCGACATTTAATTTTCTTCAAAATGGGAATCTATGGAACAGATAACGATAATGTACGTGTTATTGATTAAAGACTTTTGGTTACCCTATGGGTATCGCGCGATATACATAACCATAACAACATATATGCAATGTACTTTTCTTACATTATTGGTAACTATCGAATAATCGCTAATTACATATCATACTCGATAAACTGTGATATTTGAGCGAGCGGCGTATATATCACAATGAAAGATAAATCTTCTTGAAACCTACTCTTGAAAATGCTACTATTGAAATCAATCTAGATGATTTAGATACAAAGTAGTGAAACTTTGAAGGCCGACGTAATAGAACGTAATTTAAAGCCTTTTATCGATTATCTTCATATTTGATATTATATATTCATATCAAATGCGGATTACTGACGCTCGCAAAATTTGAATGACAAATGCAAATGTGGATAAATTACAAATCCAGAAAATAAAAACTTCAATTAAACTTTTATCTCTAATTGTAATATTATTCTTTCAGAAAATGATAAAAAAGTACAGTTCTTTTATTATATAAATCATGATTTATACGTAATTTTTAAAGGAATGAATTAATTGTGTCAAATACATGCAGGTGTAATCGTTTTTTGAAAAAAAATGTATAATTTTTTTTTTATATAGTGGCCTTTAAAAATATAATCAACTAAAAAGAAAGTTATTTAGTTTCATTTAGTTTTCATTTTGTTGTTAAATATATATTTTATCCACATTCAGTGTAAACTTCTCTCTTAGGAAAAGAATAAAGACATGCGAGAAAAGCTTATACAAATCCCATTTTTAGGTGCCTATAGCCATTTTAAAGAGTGGAAGAGTAGCGTGAGTTGGCATTGTAGTACAAAAAAGATCATACAGCCAATATACGCTTGTGTTGCATACAGACAATAGTTAGGATGATTACGCAGGCGTGATCATCACCCAGTAGATTTGTAATTATCTGATCCCGATGGCGTGCTTATCATACGCTGGATTCGTACTCGCTGAATACAAAGTGGAACAAGATAATCTTAACTATAAGAAAAAAAAATGGAAAGTAAGGAAAATTCGCGATTTTACTGTGATCATACGCGTATCATGTTCGATATACGCATTCGTTTTACGATTCACGCGACAAAACAGCGCAATTGTGAAATATGGTAAAGCCATAGTGTCATACAATGGTGTCCAGTCTATAATATGTACATCATTAGAACAAGAAACATTGATTATAATTAAACTGCGCTAATAAAACATTTGGCTACCACATTTGTATTTTTTCATTGCATATCTGTTATATTATGCCGAAATATGTTTTAATTTTATACAATATTTACATGACTGTGGGTATATGAGAAATTTTAATATTAAGAAAAAAAGAGATTGGACATCACATTTAACTCTTTCAGCAACAGATTAAATATGGGAGACCTAAAATCTTTTTTTCTCTATATAATTTTATTTTATTTAATTATTAAAAAAGATATATACGTGTGTACTTTTTCTTTATTTTTTGCCATATTGTCATTTTCATTGACATATATGTGATTTATAATATATTTAACATCATAAAACAAAAAACAAATTTTATTATCAGTTTTATCATATATTTTTATGAGATTAAAAATTAATATCTGAATTATAGCACTGGAATACTGAAAGAGTTAAATAAACTGCTTTTGTTCTTTAAGAAATATATCTCTTGTTTGCCTACAAAAAAGATTTATGCTCTATATATATATATATATATATATATATATATATATAGAGAGAGAGAGAGAGAGAGAGAGAGAGAAAGAGAGAGAGAGAGAGAGAGAGTGTGTGTGTAAGCTCTTAATTGCTATTTTTGCATACAAAGCATTGTATTTTTCAGTCCAGTCTGGCACGGATTATCTTAAAAGAAAACAAAAATTTCTTTCAAAATTGTACTACAATACATAAACAAATCACTGAATTGTATGATGTTGATATTGCTACTTTAGTAAGTATTATAAATTTATTAAATCATGTACATACAACGAATATAACAGATAACAAATTACTTCTAATATTATGTTTATTCCCCCTTTCTCATCAATAAATTACATTAGCATTTTCTTATATCTGTTTATACTTATATAGGTATTTCTCCCTAAATTATGCCAAAGAAATATAATTATTTATTAAAAGTTATATGTATGTAATTATATGTAACAAATTATATATAAATATATACATAAATATATATTATTAGACAATTATTAATATCCTTTGGGACCCCTAAATCGTCTTCTGCCATCAATCTATGAAAGATAAAAAAAGAAAGACGAGAAGTAAACTATATAACTAGATCCTATGTAGACTTGTCTAAAAAATGTATCACAATTTCTTTTCCTAATATCTACAATTTAATATTTATTTATCAAATTTATTTATACTTACTATAGAGTGTTTACAATCAAAGAATATATTTCGTAAAGCAAAGCATTCGTCAGGTACTGTACCATCTTGTATCCTAAGGCATTCTCTGGGAGTATGTTTGTACTGTAAAAAAATAAAATAATGTACCTTAAAAAAAATTATGCTTATACACATTTTCGAGTTTATAAAAGACTTGTTTGAAAAAATAAAAAATAGAAGCAGAAATTGAACACAGAATAACTCAATAAATATCTTATTGTTAGTTGATATTTATTACATCGATCAAAAAATTTAAAAAAATTACCGAGATAAAACGTCTTATTTTTTATATAAAACTTGTAACTTAATTTTAAAATTTATGTCTTTATACACGCACAATGAATATAAAGTAATGTATATTTCTAGGTTATAATGATAACTGCTTTGTGCTTACTTACAATTTTGCAACAATCACTTTGAAGCAAACACATTTTTAAATCCGCGCGAATATTTGCACAACGAGATTTGTCTTTCAACGTTTCGCCTTCTTCTTCAAATCGCATCATCTTGAATAGCAAAACACTCTTCAATTACTTGATTTAAACTTTAAACAATCTGACATGTGTGGACTTGTGGACAGCGGGAGCGTCCCGTTTGACCACGTTGCGATTGACCACAGCCAATTATATCGACCTGTGCCTAGGGTAACCAGCAACGATTAACCAATCAGAGAGTCCTATTTTGAATTGGCCAATTGGCGACGTAGTCAATCGGGTGCCACCTGTGGACAGCGCATTGTGTGGACATAAACAGATCTAACCTATTATTAAAGTCTCTTTTAAAATGTTCGTATCGAAAAACATTTTTGATGTTGTAAATATTTAGAAAATAAAAAAGATTTTTTAGAACGTGTAGATGTCTATACTAATCAAAAACAATTTTAAATCATTAAAAAATACACAAGTTTTTTTATTATAGTTTACAACTTGTGTAAAATTGCAGTTATGGTAATTATTACTTGCCTATTTATTTCTTTTTACAAATACATAATTGTAAATAGTAAATATATTTATATATCATAAATATATTTTACTATTTGTAAATATTTTCTATTATAATTTAAATTTTCTATTGTAATTTTTTAAATATAATTGTAATTTATTCAGGAACAATTAGCCAATTGTACGCTGCAAATTGACAAAGTAAAATCTAATGATAAAGATGTTGCCTTAACTATCCATAGAAAATCAAGCAAAAAGTCTTTGTCTAAAAAAAGAAAAACTGATAAAAAGAAAAGTAAAAAACATAAGAAAAAGAGAAAATGTTCATCTTCAAGTAGTGTAAGTATCGAAAAGTTTGTAATTAATAATTAATATTTATATGAATTTGTAATATAGAAATTATACAATATTTTTTAGGAAACTGGTGACAGTGATAAAGTTGAATGGGTGGAGAAAAAAGTTGAAGATCAAACTTCTCCACATAACATTACAAATCTTGTTAATGATGAGACACAAAAAAATGTACTTAAAAGAGATGAATGGATGAGTGTGGAAAGTTTCCTTCCATATCTATCCAAATCTGATAGAAAAAAGCAAAAATCGAATATGAAAGAGGAAGACAAAATTTTTCTGGATAAACCAGGACAAAGTGATAGAGAATTAAATCCATATTGGAAAGATGGAGGTGATGGATTACCTCAAATTAACCCAGGAAGATTTAATAATCCACAAGTTTTGGATGCAAACTGGCTAAAAAAAAGTCTTCGACGTGCAGAGGAACAAGCTCATAGAGATGGTAAAACTTTAGAAGAAGTGGCTACAGAACGTTGGGGTGTAAGTTAATTAAAACATAATATAAAAATACCTTAAATTAATTGTTGATAATACAAATAATAAATTCTTCTTTTTTTATAGTCTCTAGAAACTATACAATCAATGATAATCAATGCAGAAAAAATGTCAAATGCTGAACAGAATAAATTACATTTTAAAAAACACTACAATGATGGACATAAAAATTTACATAGAATTTCAAGTTCAAGATTAAGAAATCGTTCGAGATCTAAATCCAGAAGTAAAGAACGCACTGACAAATATAATTCTGATTATTTCTCACAACGTCACATGGAGAAAAAACAAAGCTATCAAAGACCCAAAGCTAATGACAATTATTATCAACAAACTGCACATAATTCTACTAGACCAAAAGATAATGACAATTATTATCAACAAAATATACATGGATCTACTAGTAGCCATATAAAAAATTGGAAGAAAGATAAAAGAGATGAGAGAAAGCATGAATCTGAATTAATTGAATCATCAAAATTGGAAGAAACCAAAATGGAGAATATTAGTAACATACATGAAACAGATAAAGACAAAAATATTAGCATTCTAACAGAAGCAGAAATGAATAAATTAGGAGCAAAAATTATTAAAGCTGAAATAATGGGCGATAATGTATGCTTACAGTCAAGCTATTATCTTTATTGTTTTGTTTTAATTTATCTCAGTATGTATTTTATATTTATCAGAATTTTTTTATTCATCTAGGAATTGGCAACTCAACTTAAAGTACAATTAGAACAGGCAAGAAAACTTGCTGCAGCAAATAATACTAATAGACAAGAAGAAACTGTATTTCTTACAAAAACTGATGCAAAAGGTGTGTGTTTTTCTTTTCAAATATAAAAATTTATGTGACTATTATTAGGAATAAAATATGAAATTTTATATTAGGTGTTGCAAGACCAATTCAACCCAGAAGTCAATCTGAGCAATTTGCAGAAAGTCATAGAAAAAAGAAAACCATGGCGACACATGTCTCTGGGGAGAGGATACGTTATTTTGCAGATGACGATAAATATTCTTTACAAGAAATGGTGAGTAATTAAACTGATTAATACTAATTAGAGAATTCTAACATGATATAAATTTTCATTGCAGTTTCAACGAGAAAAAGGAAGACTTACAAATGAAGATGAAGCGATGTTCACTAAACTTGTTGCTAAGGTAAAATATTGAGTAAATTTAAAATTATGAATGTTGATATATAAAGTAAATTTTCTATAATATTCTTTTACAGAATAAAGATATAGATGATATATTTGAACAACAAATTGCACAGACAAATTCGGAAGTGAAGCAAGATAGGCGAGATCGCTCACATGCAATTAAAGAGCACAAACAATTATCTAATCAGATGGAAAATTGTTTGTGGTGCTTAGATTCGAAAAATATGTTAAAACACATGATAGTTACAATGGATTCCATGATTTGCTTAAGTCTGCCTGCTTATACTTCCTTAATTACAAATCAATGTATATTGACACCTGTACAACATGTAGCTTGTCAGTTACAATTAGATGAAGATGTATGGGATAGCCTCAAGGTGAGATTTTCTTTATATTATATAATTAATTTTATTATATATATATATATATATATATATATATATATATATAACTTTATAATTAGATATTCTACAGAAAAATAATATGGTGTTTTTTCACAGGAGTTTAAAAGAAATTTGATAAAAATGTTTATGAAAGAAGATCTTTACCCGATATTTTTTGAAGTGTATAAAAAACGTCGTAAATTTTCACATATGCAATTAGAATGTATTCCATTACCAAAAGAAACTGGTGAATCAGCACCATTATACTTTAAAGTAAGTATATCATTGCATTATAATCCAAAAAATATTCTATTCTAATCCTTAAAATGAATTATATATATTATTTCCAATTTTTTAATAGAAAGCTTTACTGGAATGTGAAACTGAATGGTCTATTAACAAGAAAATAGTTGATTTAAAAAATAAAGATATACGTCATGCTGTACCAAATGGTTTATCATATTTTATGATAGAATTTGCTTCGCATCCCGGTTATGCTCATGTAATTGAAGATGAAGAAATGTTTCCGAAGAATTTTGCTGAGGTGAGATCATCAATAAAATTATTTCCTCCTAAAGTTTTAGAAGTTTTGATGCATATGATATGTTGCATTAATATGTTGTAAATATTTTAATAATATTCTATACATTCTAGGAAATAATAGGTGGTATGCTGGACTTGGATTGTAATCTGTGGCGAAAACCAAAAAGACAGAGTTTTGATGAACAAAAAGCAAAAGTGCTAATATTTACAGAAATATGGAAAAAACATAATTCTCCATAAAAGATATTTAACTATTATACTCAAAAAAGTTTCAAATCTTTTCGATTTATGTGAATTGAAAAAAATTTAACAATTATTTCACTTTATATCTTTTTAATAAAGTAAAGTTAATACAAACATACATCTATACACACACACACATATCTCATTTACATAAATATTCTTTTATATTATTTAAATATAATTCAGTATATATATATATGCATATTACGTAGATATAAATAGAAGAATATAAATATATTACAATTCTTATCACATATAATATGTGAAAAAAAAATTCAAGATTTCATTCAACCTTGATTCTCAAATCCTGCTACTGGCCATTTTTTCAAATGATCTTTCAAGACAAAAGGAAAAAAAGACAATACTTGAAAACAATTTCCCATTTTATCTTCATCAGTTATCATATGATATCCTGATTCAATTTGTTGCTTCTGCACATTAGTAGCATTTTGTAAAATCATTTTTAATCGTAAATCAATACCAAGACTTTTCAAAAATTTTCTTTGTGTTACAGGGCCAAACGTAATTAATCTATTATCTTTTTCTGCAATCTCTTTCATTAATGAAAAATCAACGTCAGCAGTTAGATCTGCAGTTCCAGGATTTAACAATGGATCGTGTAATTTATGTTGGTAAAATGCACGAAATGTGTCAGTTTTTTCTCCTTCATGACCATAATCGATTACTAGAGCAAAACCTCCACATTCCCATAAAAATTGAGACATATAATCTATTATTATAGAACACTGTGGACTTACCTCCACATGCTCCCTTTTCTCATTTGGCTGAAAAATAATGAATTAATGCATCATTTGCAGAACTTAAATACTGTAACATGAAAATAAATAAATGCTTACAGATAGATATACTTTACAAGCAGCTGTTGGCATTTGTGAAAGTACATATCGAAATTTTTCTTGTTTAACTTCTTGTATTATATCTACTAAAATTTCTCTCCAACCTTTGTCAGTCTTCTAAAATTAAGTATAATTTTTGTTAATTATTTGTTATGTATTTTTTATATATTAATATTAATGTATTAATATTTTAAGTACCTGGAACTTGTGTATTGGCAGAGCATCAAAAAATTCTTGTGCAATAAATATACTGAACTCTCTAGGAACATCATTGATACTATAATACCAATATATCTTTACTCCATCTTTTGTAACACCTTCTCTGTAATGTGTAACAGAATTTTTCTGGTTTTCATTAACTTTTAACTCACTATTTTTACTTTCGATGCACAATTTCTTTGCTTGAATCATAGATAAAACAGGGCTAACTTCCACTAAATGAACTGATATCTTATCCAAAACATTCAGTTTCTTGAATACCTGAAGAATAAGTAATCATATATAATTTTCTCACTCATAAATTTAACTTGCAAATAACAATACTGCAATAATATACCCGTAATATATCACTAATCAAAGTACCTCTTCCTGGGCCTAATTCTACAAGTTGAATAGATTCTTTGGTAATTTTCCTCCATTCATTGATTATCCAAACTGCTATAATCTATCAATAATTAATAACAATTTAATTATTTTTATGCAATAATTTTTTCTGAAAACTAATAATAAAAATGTATATGTTATATTAATATATAAAAGTGTATATGTGTATATATATAAAATAATAAAAGTATATGTGAAAAAAGAAAAATTTGAATTTTTACAAATATTAGTCATATAATATTTATATAATTACTAAAACATATGACATAATAAATAAATTACATATTTATTATATAATAAAACATACTTCTCCAAAAAGTTGACTAATTTCTGGAGAAGTTGTAAAATCACCTCTCTGCCCAATTGTATCTTTAGTTGTATAATAACCCACAGTGGGATGGGTCAAGATCTCTTTCATGTATTCTGCAAGTGTTATGGGACCACATGCTAATATCTTTGCATATAATTGACGATACAGATCCGATGTTTTTCTGTCTAAATAGTTTGAAGAGCATAATCTTTTCAGCAAAGTGAAATTTCCATAATGTTGTCTCGTATACATACTCATTGTTGAAAATGTATTAATACATTTTTCGAAAATGTATGATAATCTCATATACGATAATCTCATGTTGAATATTGTATTTATAATTTACAATGGACTTTTTCTAATTTCTTTTATTGTAAAATCATTAGAGAGTTCCAAAGAAAGAAGACAAATGCAAAATTTATCTAAAAATAATAAATCTTTTAACATCAATAAACATATTGCCAACAAACATAAGTTCTGTTAGAAATTATAGGGAGTTTTCTCGCAAGAAAACATATGGCGTTTTCGAATGGTCAAATGACAGTAATTGGCTATCGAATAGAGAATTTGTGAAGTTTCGAAAACTTTTCTACTAGATAAAATCACTAGAAAACAAACTCTTCTATTGGATATTGAATATTATATGTCGGATATCGACGCAGTGTGAGTCCTGCATTAGAATTCGTGTAAATGAAAATATTTATTATATAATGGTGTGTGTAATGTGAGTGTTATATACCTTGCTTCTCAATTTCTGCGAACTGCTCGAGATTCCTAAAAATGTCTATTAGTAAAATAATAATTGTGAGTGGATATGCATTTGAACATCGAAATATAAACTATGCATTAAGCATTTTATAAAAAACTAATTTTTGTACTTCCACACAATATACTATTAAAATATATTCATATATATTATCATGTATATTACATATATTCATATATATAATTAAAAGATTTATCGCTCATAGTTGAGTGTATCGCTATTTATTTTGCAACTATCTATCAATAATATGAATAACTTTTGTTTCAGACACGAACTTTTTCTGTGTCAACTGTCGCACAGCAGCTGGTGAAGGTATTTAATTTTTTTTATTTATCTATCTGAATAATATTTTTAGTTGAGGAGTTCATAAAATGCTCTAATGAATCTTCTAAAAGCATTGATTTACAATTTTCAACTTATTTGTATTTATTTTATGTTTCATAATATTTATGAATTCTGTAAACAGATATTTATATATATTAATCAATACTTTTATTCTGTTTCATATGTCAACGTAGCCTCCAATTCAAGTTTTTGGATTAGAAGGCAGGTATGCAACGGCTCTTTTCTCAGCTGCATCCAAACAGAAAGCTTTAGATGCAGTGGAAAAGGATTTGATCACCTTTCAGGTATATTACATAAGCAGAAAATGTTATTGATGTATCAAGAATTTGTATCTTATTTAAAAATGTTAATTTTTAATTGTTTAAATTAGGGTCTCCTGAAAACAGATGCCAAATTAACAGACTTTGTAAAAGATCCTTCAATAAAACGAAAGGATAAGGCAGAAGCTTTTAAGGCTATTGGAAACAAAGTTAACATAAATCCAGCTACTGCAAATCTGTTGACATTACTTGCAGAAAATGGCCGATTGGGGAAAATCAACCAAATCATCAATTTATATAAACTGATAATGGCTGCTAACAGAGGAGAAGTAGTATGTGAAGTTATTACTGCAAAACCACTTGATGCAGATACAAAGAGTAAACTGGAATCAGCTTTAAAAGGTTTCTTGAAGAAAGGTCAAACTATTTTACTTTCTACCAAAGTAGATCCTTCAATTATTGGTGGTATGGTGGTCTCAATAGGTGACAAATATGTAGATATGAGTGTTGCTAGCAAAATTAAAAAATATACTGATCTCATTCAAGCTACAGCATAATGACGGTCAGTTACTTGAAGTAATGAAATAAATTATTCTTTATTTACACAGAAACATATTTAAATGTTGTGTAAATGATCAAACCAATAAAATGATATAATAAATTAGTGTAAATTCAATGAGTTTTTACATTTCATACTGACAGGAAAATATAAATGTATATATAATAGAATTTTAAATTGTAATTTTATTTTATTTTAGCTGATAAAGCATAATCATTTAATACAATTGCACAAAAGTGTTTTATTACTTATTATTAATAGTTTTTTCATACATTACAGTATGTGAAATGATGTGTGACAAAATGATTTATTTTAAAAAGTTTACATAATGTAAATCTCATTTTTACATACTATTTCTGCTGCTTTAATTTTTTCCAATCGCAATATATATTACAAAATTAGATATAAATAGACAATATATTTAAAGTAATAAATAAAAATAATGCCAAAGAATATTAAAAAGTCTAATATTTTAAAAATCATTTTTGTTCAAGTTTAAAAATGTATAAAGATGCAAATAAGTGGTATACATAAACTTATACAATATTTGCTTGTATTTACAAGATTAAATATAAATGAATAGAGCACATTTTAGAATTTTTGACAAAACTAAGATATTGTGCAAAAATACTATTTTAATTATGCAAGAATATATTATATCGTTATTTAATAGTTAATATTATTTACTAAATTTACAATTAACATTATATTAAGATTTAATTATATATACATATCTTATATATTTTAACATAATGCGAATTGTAAACTAAGTAAATGATATCTTAACTATTATATAATATATATTAACATTGTAATCATATTTTATAAAAAGTTTAAGAGAAATTCATTAATCACAAATATATTAATAACATTAATTATTATATTAAAATATTAAGGCAACAATATTATTTTTCAATATTGATAATTTTTTTATATGTAAAATATAATATTCTGCTTACTAGTGAAAATAATTTCAAATGCATTTTCCTAAATTAAATGCATTATTTTATAATCATTTATTTATTTTAATATTTTATTTCATATGCCTAATATTTGTATATCTGAAGTATATTTGAAATTGGAACAATATTTTTATACAATTGAATAATTTATGAATTGTGGACGTTTGATAACAATCAAAAAAATTTAACTTTTTTACAATTAATAAGATATGTATTCTATAAAAGAAAAAAAATTGATAGCGAAAAAATTACTAATTGGTGCTATTATGCATATCACGTAATTATTTATTATTTTTTAACAATGATATACTTATGTGTATATAAAATGCAAAGCAACTCTTGCTTAAAACATCGTGATTGAAGGTATGTCATCTTTGACCAAAACCCAATCTTCTTCCTCGAGAATAACAGATGTAGCACATTCTTTTGCCAAAGCTACAAACACAATATTTTGTATGTATACATTTATATATGTGTGTAATAGTTCATAATTCATAAATGATATATGTTCTTTAATATTATAATGATTATGTACCATTAAATTGATGTTCTAATTCGTCTCGATTTGGCGGTACTTGTCGAATATCAACAAAATTATTGCAAGTGGGAGGGATATCGTCTAGTTTATTTTGTAAAAGAGTTTTTCTGCATTCTCCGAGATCTTCTAATCGTTTTAGTTCGGTGCGATAGCTGACATCTTCTTCCCCCGATTCAGTTTCCGTATGATCGCTCTGTTCGATATTCTCGTTTTCCTTATTTGCATCTTGCTCTCCTATCATCGCATTGTTAGAATGTACATTACAATTTATATATGTTATAGTATCCATATGATTGGATATATTCGAATCATCTTTATTTATTTGACTACTCGTCATGTACTTGGATAGATCAAAATCGAGAACATCTGCTAATAATTTTTCTTTATCTTCTACATCTCGTTGAATTGTTTCTAAATCTCGATCTGATTTTAATATAAAATCGTCATCAAGACTCAGTTGCATTAAAGAGGAATAAGTTGTCATTGTCTTGTTAGTATTCACATGATCAATACCTAAGCTACTTGACAAATTATCAATATTGTCGTGTGACGATATGACACTTTCACTTCCATTCATTACTTTAATCCGAGATTTTTTCTGTTTTCTTTCAGGCGTGAAAACAACATCTTCAAATGCTTGTTGGCCAATTTTTTGGAATATTTCCCGGCGATCATTGCTTTTATCTTCTGTATTTCTTTTATTGGTATCGTTATGTTCTGGTATTTTGTTAATATCCGTTATAAGTGTAGTATTTAAATCTATTGGAACTATTGGAGGTATTTCCACAGCTTCTTCCGCATTTGCAATTACATTGGCATCAGTACCGACAGTAACAGTTGGTAAAATGCTATAATGTGAATGATATACTTTTAATTTATTTATATTGAAAAAAATTAATTTTTATTCTAGCAAATATATGATGGAAAATTAGAAATCAAATCAAACGATCAGAAATTAGATTACTTACCCTACGGATTGAATAATGTTGGTTGGATTGATTTTTGAAAAGGGAATAGTTGGTACTATATTACTTTCCTTTAATTTTGAAGTTAGTCCTAGTATACCATTGGCAACAGGTTTACTATATTCAGAAAATGACAATAAAGAATCCATATTGTTTATTTCTCCTGTGTCATAAAACATTAACATTATTAACTTTTCATCTAATTATTTCAGAGACAGTAATTATATACATACCAGATGTAATATTTTCAGGATAATAAGCAATACGCAAAATATTTCTTTCTCCTTCTAATATAAATATTTCATCTTTCGTACAAGCCACATCGGTAACACGCCGCAAATCATTTATGATCGATGTTATTGCAATAGTATTTGGATTTACCACATAGACTACATCGTCGCAATATGTTACTAATAAATCATCACAAAATGGCAGTACAATGCCGAACGAAGGTTCACCGCGATTCTTTCTCAAACCTTCAGATGCAGGATTTAATAACGCCACTTCTGTATGACCTGATCTAACTGCATCCTTTTTAGAATATTTTGAATAAGTCAAAGAAATATTCATATATAAATAAATTAATAAATACACATATTAGCTTATAATACCTTAAATATGAGTGTTTTTAATACAGTTCCCATCTTATCGGCCTGCCATAAACGTAACCCTGGTCTACTTGCATAGATTACTGATTCTTGTATGTAATTTTGTCGAGAACCAAATACCGCACCTAATTTACCTAGTCTAAAACATCAAAATATTTTAAATTTCTGTAATATCAATACTCTTAAATTTATCCATTATTGATAATCTTAAATTTATACCAACGTTTTACGTTCTTTTTGGCCAACTTGTGTCACTTTCCCATTTTCATTTCTGTTCACCAAAATTGTACGTAATGTAGTTGAAACTAGTAACAAACCCTGTTGGTAACTCAATTGTACTACAGAATATTTCTCATTTAATAATTTTGATGATTTAGATAAATGCTATAAAAGAAAAAAATATTAAGACATCCATATATTTATAGAAAATACACTTGAAATAAATTTTCTAGATATATTTTCTTACATACCATATAAAAATCAATTTCTGTTAAAACCACTAAACCATCTTTATCTCCACTAAATAATTTCATACCATTCTTAGACCATTCCACTGCTGTCACTGCAGTATTATGTAAGCCACTTATGCTATACCTTTCCACCTTGTGAATAATAACAGAAAATTTATATATTGTTTCTATACATATCTATTAATGTATATAATCTATTAATAATCAAAATATATTTTTACAATTTACCTGTTTTTTCTGTTTTGGTTTTAAACTGTCTGGCAATGAATCGGGTGGATTCTTGGGAATTTGAAATACTGTGACAACACCATGTTCATTGCCAACAGCAACCATATAATCGACTGTAGATATTACTTGTATGCTTGTAATTTTGGAATTTATATTCTGTTGTGATAAAAGAAAAATATTTTTATCAAACTAAAGTTCAATTTTTTAAAATAGTTAAAAATTCTTAATTACCTCACAACGTAATCTTTGCAGATCCTGTTTTTCTCTATTATACCAATAAATAAGCCCATGATTAGTTCCAATGGCAATAAATTCAGTGAGGGTAGCAATGCAGGTGAAATTAATATCTTGTGTAAAAATACCATTTTGTATTTTGGCAGGTATCTGTTGTAAAAGGACAGCAAGCGGTGCCCATTCCCTTAATGGTCCACCATCCTCGCACATAGGTGTTGTCATTATTAAAACTATACATTTCACAAAAATAAATTATGAAAAAAGTTTCGTATAAAAAATTTAGACTATAATGCATAAAACTGTACGAAGGCATAATCTTTAATATAGAGTATAATAGATTTTTGCAATTATATCTAATAATTCTATATTATACAGTATTTTTAAAAAATACTATATAATAATACTATATATTAAAAATACCAATATTATAACATGCAGGTATCATTCGATAGATTAATCGGCGATTAAATAAATCGGAGCTTGATCAGAATGGCCTTGAATTATTGTAACACATAAATGAAAATATACCTTTTTCTTCAACCAAGATGTGCGAGATGAGAGAGAATTGCAAAGCTCAACTATAATTAAGCGTCCTCTTCTATTTTTTCCTTTGTAATGCAGTGTGAAAATCTCATTACAACTAAGCTTGCGTCACAATTATGACGATTATTACGATTGTGTATATACATATATGTATAAATAGCGCACAATATTGTAAAATGTACGTCGATCGTTTATAATTGAGAGAACGTAGTATTTTTCACTGGGTTTTCACGACGTCATATGAATTATGTATAATAGCTATACAACTTTATCTAGTGGTTATATGTTTGTTAATCGCACTCACAATTATTTTTCATATACTTCTATAAGTTAACCTTATATCATAAGTTACAAACAGTTCGTTAGTTAAAATTGTCAATTCTTGTCAAAAATTAATAGCCACGATGCATGAAAATATCTAGTAGAACATCGTTCGATCCGAAAATGTCAAACACAAACAAACACAAGCACCAGTAACTGCTGCCAACTATTATTTTTACTAGCAGTAAATCCACTGCCACTCAATTGGTTGAAGTTTCATTTTTCAATATATTTGATAATCAATCTATCAATAAAATTTAAAGCATTGTTCGAAATATATTTAATTCTAATATTGTTAAAGAAATATTATAATTAGCATCAATGATCGACAGATCATTATATAATTAATTTATCACCTTTTATGTATCCCCTGTTTCAATTTTTAATCGCGGTAATGAAACATTACGATTCGATAAAGATTTATCGTTACAATACAGTTTCGTCAATACATGTCGTTAATTATTTTTTAATTAATTAATTTTTATTAATATTTAAAGCAAATTATATTTTGATACTTAATCGTAGTTGTGTTTAGTAAAAAAATTACAATATTCGAAGCATTTCTCACTACTACTTTATTATTCGAAAGTCACCGTTCGAATAATGACAAAGCGGTAACGTATAGCGCGCTACTGTTTATATATTTTATATTGTCAAAGCCAAAGTCGAACGCCATGTTATCGATAATTCGTTGCCGAAATATTTTATATATTATAAAATATACATTAACATGGAATATTAAATTATGGAAGTATTTTAATTTATTGATTAAAATTTATTATTTATTAAACAATTTATCACGGAACTAATTATTTGAATTTATTCAATTATTTTACCGCGCCTTTCCGAAGTCAAATTCTATAATATTTAGTTTCGCATTTTGAAAGATTGACTTATAGCGAACTAAATAAATAAATAAATAAATAATAGCGTGAAAAGAGAGAACATACTAATATTTTTATAATAAATTATTATTAATTTAATTATTTATATTTTTATTTATATTATTTATATTATCAGAGAGACATATATGTTACCCTCTGAGAACATTCGTGGAATTGTAGTTCATGTTCACGATTTTAATGTCTAGAGGGAGTATCGCTTTCAAAGATCACCTAAAAACGGGCCATGACATCTCTCAGTCTTCTTTCTTCCAACGAAGATGAGATAGAAGAGGAAAACAAATCAGAAAAGGATTTCGTTTCTCTGGCTGCGGTCAAGGAGACACTGAAGATTTTGAAGCGTTTGATTGACCAATCAGGTTAAAGAAATCTTTACTCCTTTTATCGTGATTGGTCAATCAAACGCTCCAAAACAGCTTCAGCGTCTCCTTGACCGCAGCCTCTCTCATTCATGGAAACGAGTAGTTTCATTGATAGGCGGTTTCGCGGTTCTGACTATCAAATAGTTTTCACACTTTGTTTTATTAGAAGAAAAGCAAAGAAATACTAAATTGAATATATATCGCATTTATCGAATTCCACACTGTTTATTTTTACTATGTCTATGGACTAGCATTACAAAAACTACATCTCAAATCGTAAAAGATGCAAAAAGATGCATTTGTGTGAAGATTAGAATGACACGGTAATATTCCACTATAGCTAAGTGGTTTTTCCTTTAAGATATGTATTGTGATTATATGTAAGAATCGATAGAAATTCACCAAAGTCGATTAACAAACAGTAAATACACAAATATGTCAACGATGGAAGGCTCGCTTAGCAAGTGGACAAATGTTGTTAATGGATGGCAATATCGGTGGTTTGTTTTAGACGACAATGCTGGTCTTCTATCATATTATACGGTAAGATATATGCAAAAAAATAGTTAAATATAAAATTAAATTTAATTAAAAAATTAATATTTAATTAAATAGTTAAATATAAATTACATCCTATTTTCTTCTTTCGCAATATTATATATATATTTGTGATACCTTGCTTTATCTTTTTAGTAACTTTTATATCTCTAATGACCTTTTTTTATTTAGAGCAAAGAGAAAATGATGCGTGGAGCCCGTCGTGGTTGTGTACGATTAAGAGGTGCTATTATTGGTATCGATGATGAAGATGACAGTACATTTACTATTACAACAACCTCCTGCAAAGATGATCCAAAAACATTTCATTTCCAAACACGTAACGGTGAAGAAAGAGAACGCTGGGTTCGTGCATTAGAAGATACAATACTTCGACATTCTCATACAGTATGTAGAAGTAAAGAGAGAACTTATTAAATTGATAATAATCATATTCTTTATAATAATAATAAAATATATAAAAATGATGAAATAAGATTGTTATATAAAATAATGTGAAATGCAGTACAATATAGAAAATTGTACAATATAGAAAATTGTTACAGAGATGGGATCCTAAAAAAGCACCTCCTAAACAGGATTTTGATCGCAAAGTAGCAGAAGCTGATGTCTATCTTCAACTCCTAATTGATCAAATTAAATTAATTGAAAATAAACAAAATACAGCCGAAACTGAAGAAGAACAAGAAAAATATTCTACTATTTTGTCACAGGCTAATGCTATGCTTAATTCTATTAAACATACTATTGTTCAGTTACAAATTGCAAAGGTAATTGTTATATTAATTCATTATTTATTACTTATTGTAATTATTTTTATATTAACATGTATGGATTGACTAATATTTTTAGAATACAGCAATACCTGTTAATGGAATATATAGAGGACCATCAAATTCTATACATGTCTCACCTCAACTTCCTCATGGTAAAAATATTTATATTTCTAGTTGTATTCCATTTTATAAATATACTTATGTTTATGAAGAATGGCATTTTTAAAATTTTACATTAGTTGCAGCTGGAACACCTGAAGCAACAGTGCAAACTGGTATCGAATTGGGATCCGAATGTGTAGAACCAAGAGTACCCATATTATCAAATGGTTAATATCATATACAGCATTTATTCTAACATAAATTAAATAAAATTGTTTTCATCTTGTTAATTCTGTATTACTGAAGCATTATTTTACATTTTCAGTTGTAGACAGAGATTTACCAGTCCCACAATTCTCATACTCATCGTCCGATGAAGATGACGATTACTTCGATGCTGCAGATGAAATACAAACTCCGATAGTTCAGAATCACATTACTCTGCAAGTATAATAGATAATAATAAAAATCTCTATATACATAGAAATATGTAAAATACATAGAATTAACATTTTTTTTTTGTTCATGTAATATAAATCTTGTTATATAATATGTTGCTCATAATTTTGTTAATAAAAAGCTGATATTTGTATGCATTTAACGAAATTACATATGCAAAAAAAATATAAAGATATTCCTTTGTATAATAAAGTAACAAATAATGTTTTTAGATGTCAAGATAATGAGCGATTGTATACATCCATGGAAAACATCGTGGGTGATAAACGCAAAGAACCGCCTCTACCGCCTATCAAAGGCGATGGAACAGTAGATTATGATGGTGAGTCAACATTTCTATTTTGATACAGATTTTGTTATATATTATTTGTTAGTTTCATTTTTTTTACACTTTATTACTATTAATTATAGAAAGTTATAATTTTACGGACGAAATGTAACAGGATGAACGGATGAATTTATTTAATGCTACATTCAACGTTATACAATCTGTTAATTGTGATATTTGTGCCAAAAAATTGCTAAATTATAAAATAATCTCGATATTACATATAATTGAAAATAAAATAACAAAAATTCCAAAAAGAAAAAAAGAAAAATTTGCTCTTAAATTATTATTTTGTTATTTAAATTATTACGCACATTGTTAAAGCATCATTATTTTAAAAAACTATATATACATTTGGCTTACAAAACTAGAATGTAATAAAGAGAATGACATTAGAGGCAGGCAAATATTATTCTATGCCTGCTCGATTTGAATAATCTTTAGCACGTATCTCGATCAATCTCAGATGTAGATAAAATAGGATGAGATTAAAATGATTCATTGTGACGGGAACCGAAACCTTTCAGAAGTATCGAGACAGATCGGGACTTTTAATTCTTGGCGACTCCAAAAGATAGTCCAGTGCTGTACGCGATATTGATAATAAATTCGTGAATGAAATTATTTCATTTATTACTCGTTTATTGTCATTCGTTACTCATTTGAATAACTTTTGCTCAAAATCTAAAAATTATTAATAAATTAAAATCAATAAAATTTTTTAATAATAAATTTTATATTAATAAAAAAGTATTAAATAAATAAATGGAATTAATTTAATACATGGGTAAAATAGATTTAAAAATAGCTGGAAATGTGTGTGTGTACATTTATATCCAAAATATACAATATCTTAAGCAGTATAACTACCTTAATACATTATTAGAAAAACTATATTAAATATCAATAAAGAATTTATATATATATATATATATATATATATATATATATATAATTAATATATAAAATTAGTGAACTCATTATTGTGAATAAATAAAATTTATAAATATAAATATTTTAAATATTGTGTTCATGCAACTTTTTGTCACAATGCAAAATAATATTTAACTTTAAGCATTACTGATCTTGACCATATTTTAGTCTTTTTTGTATAAATTGACATCATTCATGATTATATATATGATCAAAGATAATGTCAATTTGTAAAAATAAGCTCTGCTTTGCTAAAATTTCTTTTCTGGTTGCATTGTTAGCAGGAAATTGAAGTTCTTATTTTGCATTTTATTTTTTATTTTATTTGTAACTCATTTTTTATTTATTTTATTCTTTTTATGTTATTGTATTTATATTTTTTATTGTATTATTTAAAGTTTTTTTACATTTTATTTGTACATGTATATTTCTGATGTAAATATGTAAATACACACACACACACACACATACATTTTCAGCTCTATTTTAAACTTATATTATTAAATTATATTAATTTTTCTTCCTTTATTATCTTTTTTATTAATAAAATTTATTATTAAAAAGAATTATTTTATTTTTTAATTTCAACTTATTAATAATTTTTACATTTTAAGCCAATTTTTCAAATAAATAAGTAGTAAATAAAATAAAATTTTATTCACGAACTTATTATCAA